ATCTGATGTGCCTTCTCCCCAAGCTGTTGCCCCAGGGCTGTCCTCTGAAGTGCGTTCTTCTGAGGGGGAAGGGGGTAGCCACATAGTTGGGATTGGGGCCGGCCCTGCAGACCTCTCTACTGGTTCCCTGGTACAGGCCAGTATGTTGTATTCATGTCTTGGTGCATCAGGTTGAAGCCTAGTCTCTCTCTCCCTCTCCTGTGGAGATATAAACAATACCCTCCCCTTGGGTAGGTTAGTGCCCTGCTCCCTCCCTACCCATGACTTTTTTTTCCTCCTCTTTCTTTCCCCCTCTTATTAGTTGGTTGCCATATGTATCCCTGGATTGGGTTTGGCCCCTCTTTTCTGTCTTTTCAATGACGTTTGCATTCTTCATCTATGATGCTCTTGATGTCCGCCCACAGTGCATCAGTTCTCCTATCATTGGATTCAATGCATCACATCTATTCTTGGGATGTTCTCAAAATTTGGGTGGGATAGACTCAAGGTTGTATTTTGGCTCTTGTGGACCGGGTTTAATTTTTCAGCTTGAATCTGAATTTGGAGCCTTAGTAGAGTAGTGACTACTCATTGGGCCGCTAATCACCAGGTCGGAAGTTTGAAACCACCAGCCACTCGGTCGAGAATGATAAGGCTTTCTACTCCCATAAAGAGGTACAGTCTCTGAAACCCACAAGGTCAGTTCTACTCTGTCCTGGAGGGTTTCGATGAGTCAGCGTCGACTCCATGGCTGTGAGTTTGGGTTTGAGTTCTTTTTGAACCTGAACCCACATCTGAGCCGTTGATGATCTGTTCCACACCCAGCAACTGGCTTGGTTTTAGCTCTGTTATTGAGCTTGTCTTGTCTCTTCCCACAGATGTAGTCAATTTGACGTCTGTGTATTTCATATGGAGAAATCCATATCCACAGTCACCTTTTGTATTGCTGAAAAAGGCATTAGCAGTGAAGAAGTTGTGGGTCTTGCAAAAGTCTATCATGCGACCTCCAGCTTGGTTTCTCTCACCAAGACCATATTTCCAACTACAATTTCTTCCTCTTCGTTTCCAGTTTTTGCATACCAATCTTCATTCATTGCTAATGCATCTCTATTATATGGTTGAGAGATTTATGACTGAAGACAAGGATACAATTCTTCCATTTCTTCATCACGAGCTTTAGTGGGCGGGGCATACACTTGGATCCTAGTTGTATTGAGTGGATTTCATTGCCCTCGGAGAGCTATGGCAGAGAACATTGTACTTCAAGATAGATATTGAAATGTCCTTTATGATGGTGTGAGAGAATGCAATGACATTCCTCTTGAATTTGTCATTCCTGGCAGAGTAAAACGACTGTCTGATTTAAACTGGTCAATGCCAGTCCCTTTCAGTTCAGCAATGCCTAAGATAACAGACCCATGCCTCCCCTCTTGTGTCTGGTAACTTCTGATTTTCCGACCCTCATACTTCATATGTTTCAAGTTCCAACTATTAATAGATGCTTGGAGCTGTTTCTTCTCATTTTGAGTTGTGTCCCGTCAGCAACTGCTTGTCCCCAGTGCTTCCCTGCATCCACGTTCATCTCATTGACTCTGCTTTGAAAGGGAGGCTCTTCCTCAGTCATAATCGGAGTGCCCTGCGGCACGATGTCTGGCAGTGTTCCACCGCCCTGCAGTAGCCTAGAACGCCCTAAGGGGACAGCTTATTCCTCTTGTAGCCTGTTCTCAGTCAAGAAGCTCTGCTGAAACCTGTCCACTGTGGGCGACCCTGTTGGCATTTGAAATACCAGGGACATAGCTGCCAGCATCACAGCCACACACAAACCACCACAGTGTGACAAACTGACAGCCAAGTGGTGGTGGACATATACAAGACAGGCAGACAGACAGACAAGGAGAGAGAGCAGCTAGAAGCAAGGGCCTGTGTGGTCCCAGTGGAAGGGACTTGAAGGTGTTTACACACAGGTGGAAGGAGCCAGTAGAGAGAGGCGTGGGTATAGTGGCCAGAGTAGACTCTGAGAAGCTCACAAGAGGAAAAGTCCAACTCCTATGGAGTCACGAGGGAGAGACAGGAGTGTGATAAGGGAAGCAGGTAAGTTCATTAGCTCAGCGAAGGGCCTGCTGAAGGCTTTGATTTCTCTCTGCCGCAGGAAGCAAAGCTCTGGCTAAGTGATGCATGGGAACAAGGCACTGGTGTGGAGAAGGGGGAGAGGTGAAATAGCTGCACTGACCAGGGACCCAAGGTGGCCGTGGGGCCCATCTGAGACTGGTTGCATAGTGCACAGAGTCTCCCTGGCTGGGGCTGGCAGCCTGGGACCAGCCAGGGAAGCCTCGCTGGGGGGTTGCCAGGAGGCACAACAGGAGGCCAGGGTGGTTACCACGGCAACAGCCCTGGAGCTGGCCCTTGGCAAAGGCTTACTCACGAATGAATGGCAAGAAGAAGAAAGAGTGTCCAGTAAAGGGGACTTGGAAGGCTCAGGACAGAATCCTCACTTTGCCCTTCCCGGTTGTGTGACCAAAGGCATGTCACTTTTTCTCTCTGCTCTGCTCCCTCTTTATCGTTACACTGGGATACATGACGAGAATTACACAGGCATCGTATGTGACTATTCTGTGTAAATTCAGTGCCTGGAGGACCCCTAGCATAAGAGACTAGGTCACTGGCACATCGCTGGCACATAGCTGAGTCATGGCTACCAGTCACGATTGAGTGGCTAAGCCAGCCATGAGATGGAGAGCTGGGATTGCCTCAGCCGTGGATGGTGCCCTGAAGGTTCTGGGAACTTGGACTGTGACCGTCACCGCTGCAAGGAAGGTTGGCAGGAGTGTGACCTGGTGGGTGGGGCTACAGCTTCTAAGGTGACCAGTCCACTCCGGATTGAATCGTGTGCCCCCCAAAATATACACTGAAGCCCCAGCCCCTGGGCCTGGGAATGTGACCTTGTTTTGAAATTAGGCCTTTGGAAGATGTTATCATTTCAGCTAGCATGAGGTCACACTGGAGGAGCCCATCACCATCACAGTGACCCTGTGGGAGGGAGCAGCAGAAAGCTCTACTGAGGCTGACTGCCACCTCCTTTCCCCGCAGCGCAGCTGGTGGGCTCTCCTCACCAGTGTTCTGGTTCGCAGCCAGCCCAGCACGTAACCGCTGTGCCACCAGGCCCCCTTATCCTGAAGGAGGGTGGATCTTAATTCTGTTCGACTCCTCATAAGAGATGAGAAGATACGCAGAGACGTGGACACAGTGGCCAAGCAAAGTCTGGAGCCCTCGGGAGCTAGGAGAGAGGCGTGGGGCAGGTGCTTCCTCAAAGCCTTGAAGGAATCCCCATGACTGATACACTGATCCTGGATGCCCAGACTCTAGAGCTTCGAGACCATGTGTTTCTCATTAGCCACTTGTCTGTGCTATTTTCTAAGGTAAACGCAGGACACGCACACAGGCCTTCCTGGGGCACCGCAGCCCAGCCCGTGGAGCCTGCAATCTCAGCAGTAAGAATCTCCCTGCCCCAGCACAGAAGAATCCAGACCACCCCTGTGTCCTCCTCTTAGGTCAGGGCTCCCAAGTCCATGGTTAGGGTGCCTGGGAGTGGGGAGCAGGCGTGCCACAGAAAGTAGACACGTGATGCCAGGTGCCAGTGTTACAGGCTTTGAGACTTTAATGTCATGCTGGTAGGAGTGGCCTTAGGCCAGACAGATATAGGCACTGACCAAGCCTTTCTGAATGGCCCAGGGAGCCCCATCCAACCAGGCCTCTTGTTGGTGAGGGGGCAGGCCTATCCCTCCACTTCCTCCTGACCTACTGGAGGTAGTTCCTGACCACCCATACTCATCCTTCCATCTAGCTGCTGAGAGGAAGGGAGCCTGCCACAGGGGCTAACCCTTCTCCACCCCAGCCCCACTGGGCATACTACTTCTGAGCCCTGATGGCTGTGGGTAGGCCGTCACAGCCTGGGAGGAATCAGAGTGTCTCTGGAGCCCCGATGTTGATGGAGGCTGTCCAGGGAGGAGCTGGAGCTCAGGGCTCCCAGGGCACTGGCCCTGCCCTCTGGGGATTCTCGTCCTTTCAGTAGCTCTGTGGCTGCCACCTCTACGTCCTCTGGTTCCATCTGGCAGGCATCTGCCAGGGCCTGGCCTATTGCCATGACGAAGCCCGCATCAACCGCCAAGGTGTCCAGGCCTCCTCGAACCAGAGCCTGTAGGGGAGAGAGGAGGCTGGGCTGGGTCTTCCTGGGTCTACCTCTGGCCCATGCTTCCCTGCCCCTGCCTGCTCTCAACTCCAGGCCAGCGCAGGGCTACCCCTAAAGCAGTCCACTGCACGCTTCCAGCCCCACCTCACCTCTTGGATTAGCAGGGCAGTAGCTGGAGCGGGGGCCCCGGAAGTACTCTTCTGGGTCCTACCCCCAGGGGATGTTTCTTCCTGCAGAGAACCTGGGGTAGATCTCTCCCTCTCTGTCGGCATGGGGCACTCTGTCCCAGGGTGTTGCTGTTCAAATGCACAAAATCAAAGACCCCAACAGGATGCTGGACTCCAGTTCTCCTTCCCCCTTGAATCAGAACGAGCCCAGCCAGGATGCCCAGAAAGGGAATGGCCTAGGAATTGGGTCCCCATTTGGTGTTGATGAGCATGTTGATATCTCCCCCCACCCCCAGCACCCACCGACCCCTTCCCCTGCCACAGCCCTGCTCCAAGGACCAGCCTAGGTAGGTTCTCTGGATAAGCTTTCTTCCTGGGCCTCTTCCTTTCTTACCTGGCAGGTGACAGGAGGGACCTCACCTCTGGCCATTACCCTCTGACTCAGTGGTCGCTGCAGCCTCTCCACACAGGATTTGCTATGGGGTCCTGTAGGGGAGGCAGGGCAAAGATGAGCATGGTGGCTGATTGACTGTCCTCAGGAGCCAGGAGTCAACAGAGGTCCCCTGGGCCGGTCAGCCAGACTGGTGAGCTCCCCGAGGTTTGGGGGGCGGTGGGAGACAGGAACATTCTCCCATGCCCTGTCCCCCACTCCAGGTGCTCTCCCCTGGGCTTGGAAGAGAGGGTCCGGTCAAGTCGCTCTCTAGTGTGTCCCTGTCCGCGTGCACCAAACAAGAGTGTGCATGCTTGGGGGAAGCAGGGGCGGTACCCAGTCATCGATGGAGTCCACATCCGTCAGCCCCTGCACAGTGCTCGGGGCCCCACTAAGAGGCAGTTGGAAGGGCCAAGGTGTCGGTGTCCACAGGTCCAGGGGCTGCCCTTGCAGGGACCTTCTGGAGCGAGGAGGTCTGGTCTTGAGCTGGGGGCTGGGGGCTGGGGTGGATGAGTTCCCAGGCAGGCCTATGGAGGCCATTCCAACAAGCTTTCCCTTCCATCGCACTCAACCACCTACACGGAACCCTTCTCTTTGCCTGGGTGGCCCGACAGCCCTGGAATTCTGGGCGTCTGGTGGTTCCCCTTGCAACAGGCTCCCCGGCAGGTGGGTGGTAAGGAATGAGTGGGGCACCTCTGGATTGGGTGGAAGAACACCCGGGCTTCTCAGGTGCGGAAGGCACTGACCTGGGGCCCTGAGGGCGTGACCATGGCCGAGGGCTCCTCCTCTGGCTTCTGGCATCACTCTCTCTGCGGGGAACTCCCTCTCGTAGTGGATGCTGAAACGGAAGCCAGGCAGGTTCAGCTGCCCTCCTTGACCCCCTACTGCCCAAACACCCTCCCCCTGGTGCTGGACCTTTTCTGAGAAGAGTGCAGTGGCCAGGCCCCCTCTCCACCCCAGCCAGCAGTGATGCCCTGATGGAAATATGCCAGAGACCTCATGCTCCCATTCCTCTGCCCATCTGGGTCCTTCTGCCTGTGGCTGCCTTCCCTTGGCCTGGCCTGAGTCTGTCCATCTTTCAGGACCAGCTCCAATCTCTGCCTCTTAAGGACATGGGCTCTCAGTCATGGCCGGTGCTTCACCAACGAGCTTTAAAACATCTCGGTGGCTGCATCGCAGCCCCAGAGCCTGGCGAGGCCAGATGTTGGGATTTCGAAAGCTCTGTAGATGTTTCTGATGTGCAGCCAAGGATGAGAACCATCCCTTAGTTTATTCTAGACTTCTCCAGTGGCCAGTGTCCCTCTGTACACTCAGGACACTCCCTGATTACATCTCCCAAGAGGCGTTTAACCCCCTTTGGAGCAAGGCCCAGGTCTGATACGTCTGTACCTCCAGGGTGTCTAGCACGCTGGTGCTTGGTGCTCTCAAGGCTTGTTGGCTGAATTCAAGGGGTATCTGTGACTGAAAATGGGGTACAGACAGCCCTGTCCAGGGGAAGAAGCTGCCTACCCGACTTCTGTCCCGTCTGCCCACACCTGAGGGTCTGGGACGCAGGCCCTTCCAAGACAAAGAGGCCCATAGTCACCGGGCCCCAGGTCCGAGGTAGACACTCTGCTTGGAACCAGCCCATAGATGATGATCACGGAGCGTTCCCTCCCTCCTCCTGCTTCTTCATGGTACATGGGTGATCACAGATAAAATCTAGAAATAGTTTGTTCACCGCCAAGTTGGTGATGGGTGGGATCAACCCTCGGAGCAGTGGGATATCCCTGGAACCCCATCCAGCAACTGAATCTTATGGTCTAGACTAGATTTCTGTACTAGGAGCTGCTCACAAGGCCCCTTTCTTCTCTGCACGTGGGATCCCAGACCTGTTGTGGTTAGGAAAGACCCACCCGCATTGGGGCCAATGTTGACACGAGGCTTCCCCCTGCTGGCCAAAGGAGTCCCTGCAGCCCAAGCTGGCCTCCAGGCCATGATAGATGGATGCCAAAAGGTATCAGGTGAGCAGAGAACGCCCAAGAGATTTCACCGACACCTCCCCAACTCCCAAGCCAATGTGGAAGTTGCCAACCTTATCCGTCCCATCCTATTCCACCAGACATGGCTACCTGGGGAACACCTGGTTGTTGCTATGGTTGCTGTTGGCACTGTTGGCATTGGCATTGTTGGTATTGGCAAGAGCAAGAGGGTTGGCACTTGGATCTTGAGGGAAGTCCTCCAGGAAGACCGGTGATTCCAGCTCCTCCATCTCTATCTCAGCAAACTGGAGGGGTCTCTGGTTGGCCATGACAGGAGCCAAGGAGTTGGGTCTATCCAGGAAGTTGTCTACCTGGCCAAACAGGCCTCCAGTCCTCTAGAGGCAAGGAAAACCTGGGGTCAGAGCCTGGGGGAGGAGGGTTGGGATGATGCTGTCGGATGATGATGGGCTGAGCAGAGGGTCCAGAAGGAGAAGAGCGACAGTTTTCGCTATTAGGGAGCTTTCAAGTTGATGGGGGTAGATGGATAGGACATACTCCAGGAAGCGTTCAGGAAACACAGCCACGCAGGTGGGACACCTGCAGGTGGGACAGAAGGTGTAGTGGAGAGAACATTGAATGTGGGGTGGCGGGGGAGGGGTGTCTCCAAAGCTGGGTTCTAGTCCCAGCTCTGAGACCCACTTGCTAAGTGGTCTCCCATCTCTTCTTTGGGCCAACTGTTTCCTCGCGAGTAACCTGCAAGTTTGTGTGGTTTTAACCTGAAAGCTTTCAGTAGGTGGTTCTGCTGGTCCTGCTGTGTGCTGGGCTGAGGCGGGGCAGCAGAAAGCAGATGGGATGCTCGGTCCTGCTGAGCCTCCCATCGATGGCACATTGGTCGGGGGTTCAGGGTGGAATGGCAGGGAGTAGGAGAAGAAGATGGGGACAGGTACATTTCCTATTTGACTCATTGAGTAGGTGGGATGACGGATTCTGAGTCCCAAGAGAGGTGATGGTGAGGTGGTGAGGTGCGTCTTCAGCTGCCACACTCCTGCTCCTGGACTGCCGGATCCCAGACCTTCCCTCCCTGCTGGACGCTGCTGCTCCTTGCGCCTGGAGCACTGGGGGTGGCGATGGCCCCCCTCACTCACCCGGAATATCCCCCCCTCCATCGCGCTCTCCACCATGGCTCGCTCCAGCTCTTCCTCTGCGGTCAGGTCACCGGAGATGGTGCGGCGGATCTCGGGGCCTGCCTCTTCCTCAATGGTCCGCAGTCCAGCCTGCGGATGGGAACGGGAGCCAGTGATCCCTCAGAGTCCAAGAGAGAGACACATAAGGGCTTCCCACCGCCCCGCTCTGCTCCCTGATCCTGGCATCAGGAGCCTCCTCCAGCCCCTACTCTGGAGCCCACTCTCCTGCCTATCTTGTTCAAGGCCCCAAGGTCCCCTGAGGCCACCAGGTCCTCTCTGGCCTCAGGACATTCCATATCACCCTCATTCCCAAGGAGTCTTCTCCTGACTCCATGGGGTGGAGGCCAGACCCTCCGCCGTGGAAAGTGCTACTCAGCATAGTCTTGTTTGCAGTCGAGTGATAACTCTCCCTCTCCTGCTCAAACATGGGCTCTTCTCTTTTGAAACACGTCTTACTGCGAATTGGGTGCAGGCTTGCAGATGGATCGTCAGTTTCCCGTTCAACAATCCACACGCATTTCGCTTTAGCTCACCGACACGGATGTGGTTCCCCACAAGATGACACCACTCACCCCACTTTCTCCTTGGGTTTCCTGTTTCCACACTTCCTTCTGGCCCAACCCTTTGGGACCTTGGGTAAATGCTGCCCTTTGGATTTCAACGGACTGACTCGTCCAAGGTACGTGTACCTCACTTGTGTTATTTCTCCTTTATATACCTGCCTATGGTTGGCTGGAAACTGAACCATGGGGGTGAGTTCAGAAACAGACTGAAGGGTGACTAAGGGGCCTGACCTAGGGCAGTGGTTCTCAACCTTCCTAATGCTGCGACCCTTTCATACAATTCCTCATGTTGTGGTGACCTCCAACCATAAAATTATTTTTTGTTGCTACTTCATAACTGTCATTTTGCTACTTTTATGTCACAGGGCAACTCCTGTGAAAGGGTCATCTGACCCCCTCCCCCCCAAAGGGGTTACGACCCACAGATTGAGAACTGCTGGTCTAGGGTTGAGTTTGTTAGTTTATTGTGCTAACCTGGCCAATAAACACATGTGGGATTAATTGAAGGGCAGAGGGATAAATGGCTCGGTGAGCCTCGCCTTTCAAATTCTCAGGTCTCTTGCTTTGTGATGGTCGCACCAGGGTGCAGCTGCCTTAGCAGTTCCCTGCTTCAGCTGGCAAGGCTGACTTCCTGCAAGAGTCAAGACATCCCCAAGGAGAAGCCACATGGACCTACTTGGATGCAGCCCTGGGTGCTGGAGCACCCGTGTGGAGACCCCTGCCAGCGCTGAGATGCTTACGCATTCACTGACTCGGCTTTCCTCCTGCAGTCAGCATCATTATGTCTGCTTTGTGAGATGGGTGAGGACTTTGTGGACTGGTGTTGGACACATGGGTTAATGTTGGACTTGTGGGTTTGGGCAGCACTGGGGTTGGTATGGTTTCTTGATTCGCACTTAACCTTTATATAAAACTCTCTCTTATACATGAGTTTCTGTGGGTTTGTGTCTCTCTCCTCTGAACAAATCACATGAGTCTCTAGCCAATGAGTCCCTATCTCGAAACCTGGTCTTTTGTAATGTTTTGAATTCTGGCTCCATGTTTTTCTGCTGCTCTATCTGGGTCTTTGAATGCGATCCTTTTCGGAGCAGTTGGTAGGGGTAGCTGGGCACCATCTAGTCTGGTCTCAGCGTTGTGGAGACAGGGAGGTTTGAGTGGCCAAATGACCTCTATGAATACATTTCAAAAGTCTGATCCATATAGGCAATGGGAAAAATTAAAAACGTGCAAGATGGAGAGTTTGCAATGAGAACACCGCAGCCCTTCTGTGGTTTTCCCAGTTAAGATGCATTTCCTAAATCCAGCAGGAGGAAATATCAGACTAGCTCAATTGGAAAGGCATCCCGGCCTGTCCTCTTCAAAACCGTCAAGGTCATGAAAGTCCAGGAAAGACCAAGACACTGTTCGAGATGTTAGAGACTAAAGAGAGACACCAATAAAGTGCAGTGCACCCTGTAGTGGGTCTCTTTCTTTAAAGAGGACTCTTGGGGCCACTGATGAAACTTGACGGGGCCTGAGGACTAGGTGGCAGCCATGCCTCATTGTGAATTTCCTGGCATGGGTGCCTACGTCAGGGTTGTATCGCAGAATGCCTTTGGGTGCAGGAAATGCATGCACAAGTGTCCTGGGTGGGTGAACCGTCATGTTGGGAATTCTTCTCGAATGGATCAGGAAAAAAAAGGAGAGAAAGGTTTTGTATAATAATCGCAATTTAAAAAAAAGTCTGAGATTGCTTCAAAATAAAAATCGCAACGGAAAGAGGGTGTTTGAGCACCCAGCCTAAATGCATGTACGTTCCATGAATTTATCAACCACGTGCGTTATGATCAGCACACAATTAGACATGAAGGAAACAGACCAGCTAAAGCTTCAAGTTCTCGAGTTCTGAAGTTGACACCACGTTCATATCTCGTTCAAGTCTCTCCTTTGAACACATGGACCTGTACTGGGGACATCTCCATAGATGGAGAGTCCCTGGTTGGCTCTTCCCTGGAGGTTGAAGGACCTTCCGTGGGGAACCCTGCAGAACTACATCTCATCTCCTCCCTCCTTCCTGCCTCCCCCTTCCCTCTGTGTGTCTGCCATTGATCCCTCCAGGACAAGGAGAGGAAATGAGTCCGGAGACCCAGGGAGTCACATGGAGTTCAGATCGGGCTTACCTGGATCTGTACAGTGTCCTTCTTGGGCCGGTACCCATAATATTCCTCCTGGCGCTTCATGAACTTCCGGAAGTGCTCTTGGATAAGAAATGTGGCATAGAACTTTCCCACAGTCACCTCGTCATCTGTGGAGGAGCCAGCAAGGGATGTCCTGAAGGCTAGTGGCAGGTGGAGGCCAGGGTGCCCGCCAAGCCATCCCTTGTCTTGCTCATCTGACCAGTGGGCCGTGTCCACCCTGGTGCTGGTAGTTCCCCTAATAACGATGCCCACAGGGCCTGGCCAGGTGAATCTCAGAGTACCTGGAGCACTCTCAGGTCCCCAGAGAGCTTCTTGGAGGAGCCCCTTGCCCCCTTCCTCGGCTGACCCTGGACTCGGTCTCCCCAAGCAGCACCCACCTCCTATTGGAGGAATGACCTGGTCCAGGAGCTTCATGCTGGTTCTCTTCCAGATCTTCTTGATGATGGTCCTCAGCTCCTCGTTGGCCTGCTCAAAGTTACCTGGGGAAAAGACAGGGGGCCCAAAGGCGTTCAGGCCAAACCAGCTCGGGTGCTCTCTGAATTGCTCACACCACACTGAACAGGGGTTTCCTTTGAACGGGGTGCTGGTACCAAGGATGGGAAGAGGCAGTCCAACATGTCCTTTCTCCCGATAGGCCTTGGCTGCCAGTGGCTGGAGTGTCGAGACACCTTTGAAAGATGCCATCTCCTGCTCTCCCCATTCCACCCAACAAGCCTCCAATTCCCTGTGGTCCATCCCAGTACCACCAAGCAGATTGCCTGATGCTCTAATCTGGTACCTTCCTGGCTCTTGGATGTTCTCTCCTGTGCTTCCTAAGGGAACATCCCTGTCTCCGATGACTACAGGGGTCCTGATGTGGGGATGGCCCGAAGTAGATTGGATGAGGGAGGCTCCTGGGTCACATTGAAAGACTGTCCTAGCTCCTTTTATATTGCCAGATCTGTCTTCCAGGCAGGCAGGGGCCTTCCAGGCATGCTTAGTCGAACTAAGCATGGACTCCCATCAGCTAACCCGAGTACATCCTCTGCTCTGCCCAGAGTCTAATCTCAGGACCACCTCCCCCAACTCCTGTGCTCATGGGGTCACTACTTTGATTCCCCTCAGAGACAGCCAGCAAGGGTGGGAGTCGATTCTCGGCGTCCGTGCCCTGTAGAGAATTCTCAAGTTCTGTCTGTGCCCTGAGTAGCAGAGAATTCTGTGGCCACGGTGTGGGCCCCTCCATTTTCTCCTCCGTGGCTCGTGACTCCAGCCTTGAGCTCCAAGAATCTGGCGGATCCCTGCTCTGAGAGAAGGGAGGGTCTGCGTGCCAAGGCACTCACCTTCCGTCTTGATCTTGAGCGCCGTGCGGACCAGGGCGAAGAGGGTGGCATTGAAGGTGACCGTGCCATCGCTGTTGAGGGGCATGTTCATGCCCACCAGTCGCTGTGAAGAGAGAGGAAGCGGCTCAGTGCGGGGCTGGGTCTGTGTGAGCAGGGGGAGTGGGTGGAGGGGGGGACAGCATAAAGACTGAGGGTGCAGGCTGCACAGGCACCCCTTCATGCGGGGAAGGAAGGATGGGTTGGGGAACATTCCCAGAATGGATCGTGTTGAGCATATCTGCTGCGCCAGGCCTCTTTACAGCCCTGACGACAAAGAATGTCATTTTGAGGACCAAGGGGCATGTAGCTCACGCCATGGTATTTTCAGTCACCTCCTGTGCATGTGGAAGTTGGATATTGAAAAAGGAAGCCCAAAGAAAGAAGGATGCATTTGTAATAGGGTGCCCCTGAGGAATGCTGAAAGAAGGGAAGCCAGAGTACTCCTTGGCCGTGAGGATGGCGAGACTTCATCCCACGTGATTTGGACGTGATGTCAGGAGAGACCAGTCCCCGGAGCAGGGCCTCATGCTTGGTAAAGTGGAGAGGCGCCAACACGAGAAAGACCCTGGACGAGTTGATTGACACGCTGGCTCCCACAAGGGGCTCAATCAAACAGCCTCGAGGATGATGCCAGGACCTGAAGGTGTTTCCTTCTGTTGCAGGCAGGCTAACCATGAGGAATGGCTCCTCACGACAGGACGTCCCCTGCGCTTCTTCCTCTCCCAGGGCCACCCCTCCCGGTCAGCTCTAGTTACCTTACATGCCACTCGGTGTGGGCAGAACTTCCCAAAGCCCAGAGGGGGCTGGATCCGTCTCAGCAGGGTCACTACGTCCAGGTGTTTGATTCTTCCCCTGCAGGGGACACACAGACTTGTCTACCCAGCCGCTCTGCTCAGACTCTCCGTCCGCACTCGGAGCAGCCAGCCAGGGGACAGGGGGATGCTTCTCAACACTAGCCCAGAAGTGGAAACCCAGCTCCAGGTCGAAGAAGAGACCATGTCCGGATGTACCGTGGCCCAGCACCGGGAATGAGCTCTTTCAGACACAGGCCAGCATTCCCTCGGATAGGGCATCTGGGCTTCATGTTCCCTAAGGTGGAGCCATTCTTGGGTTTTGGTTAATTTGATGGGGGCTCTTGGGCTGTATTAACAGAAGCAGAGGGTCTGGATCAGAGGAGGTGAAAGCTGGCTTTGAGGGACTAGCCCAGAGCTAGAAACCACATTCATCAGGACCATGATATCCAGCGTAGGTACAAAGAAGGACAAGCAGGAAGGTCAGCGGGAGAGAGGACCAAGGTGAGAGCAGCTGATGTGCTTCCTTGGGAAAAGCCAACTTGGTGGATCTTTCTGGCTTCCTCTTTCCTAGGATGGCTGACATGTTTCCTGCCTGTCTCCAGGGGCCAGAGCTAGGGCGTGAGGGTGCTGCTAGGAGCAGGTAGGTTTTGACTCGCCTGCAATAGGTGCGCCAAAGCAGAGTCGTCAGGGCAACGTGTTTCATCCCAGACACCCTGGTCTGGAATCTTGGTTCCATCTTTTACTAGCTGGTGACCCAGGGCAAGCTACCTAACCTCTCTGATCTTCAAGTCCCCATCTGAGACTGCGGTGATAAGGAGATCTAGGCTATAGCTGCTGCAAGGATTAAGCGAGATACCAGGACATGGAGTATCACCCAAGGAGCTCTGGTGGCAGAGTGGGCATTGGGCGGAGAACTGCAAGGTCGGCACTTGGAAGCCACCAGCCGCCCCGCAGGAGAAAGGCGAGGCTTTGAACCCCGTAGAGAGTTAGTTTTAGAGGCTCACAGAAGCACTTCTGCCTGCTCTGTCTTGTTGCTGTGATTCGGTGTTGGCTCGATGGCAGTGAGTTTGATTATTTGGTATTTAGCACCATGCGTGAGACACAGGACACAGTCAGTCATTATGAACTGACTGAGTCCCTGGCTGGTGCAAACGGTTAACATTTAACTGCTAGTTGAAAGGTTGGCTGTTTGAAACTATCTAGAGGCACCTGGGAAGCAAGGCTGACAATCTACTTCAAGACTGGAAAATCCTGTAGAGCAGTTCTGCTCTCCACACACGGAGCTGCTGTGAACCGGAATGGGCTTGATGGCAACCAGTGCCGTGAGCTTATTCCCCTTTAGGGGTGCACTGGTGGACTGCGATCACTGAGGTTGGCAGTTCAAAACCACCAGCTGCTCCTTGGGAGACAGACAGGGCTTTCTATTCCCATAAAGAGTCACAGTCTCAGAACCCCACAGGTGCACTCCTACCTACCCTGTCCTATAGGGTCTCTATGAGTCATCATCGACTCAATGGCAGTGAGTTTGGTCTTTTTATTACCCTTTAAGAAAGGATGAAGAGAGCACGGATTCCCATTTTAATTTGCATATGAGCACCTTAAAGGTCTGCTAATAACAAAAGCCTCCTTTGGCCTAGGCTGGGCCTGGGATTCTGCATTGTTAACATGCTCCTATCCGACTGGTCAGATCATCACATTCAGAACCACTAGGATCTAGAGGGGCCCTGGTGGGCTCCGGGGGTTATGCATCACCCATCGGGCAAGGTCAGCAGTTCGAAATCACCAGCTTCTTCTCAAGAGACAGATGGGGCTTTCTACTCCCATAAAGTCTCAGAAACTCACAGGGGTGGTTCCACCCTGTCCTAGAGGGTAGCTGTCTCTCAGCATCCACTTGATAGCAGTGAGTTTGGCTCTGTTTAAAGGAGTCCTTGTGGGGTAGTGAGTTGAACTGCTAACCATAAGATTGGCAGTTCGAAACCACCATCTGCTCCGTGGGAGAAAGGTGCGGTTTTCTGCATCTGTAAAGGGTTACAGTCTCAGGAACCCACAAGGGCAGTTCTACCCTTCCCTGTGGGATCACCACGCATCAGAATCGATTCCATGGCAGTGAGTTTTTGTTTGCTTTGAGAGTGCCTTTTCTGCAAGGAGCCCTGGTGGCACTGTGGGTTGGCAGTAGGTTGGCTAACCACAAGGTTGGTGGTTCAAACCAATGTGGGGGGAGTCTATTTCCATCAAGATGGTAGTCTTGGGAGCCCTGTGTCGCACGCAGTGCTACTCCATTCTCCAAGGTAGCCAAGTATTGGGATCGCCCCGAGGGCAGTGGGGGCATGCACTGTGCCTTCAGGCAGAAGTTGGGTAATCCCTTCCCCTCCGTCACAGCCCAGAGGGTTCTTGCTCCAGGGGCCCCAGGAAACCCTTTCAGCTCTGAGAGACAGATTCCTGGCCTGGGATCTTAGATAAGCAAAGGGGAAAGAGAAGCCCATTTGTACCCATTCAACTGGAGGGTGACTTCCCCTAGGCACTAGGGTGGCCTAGGGCAGAGGGGTGCACAGTGTATGAAGCCCCCTTCTCTCACCACCCCCCACCCCACACGCACTGAACTCACTTAGCCTCCGGGTCATACTCCGCCCAGATGGCCTTGAACTCGTCCAGGTGGTGAGGGCCCAGGATGGACCAGTCCCGGGTGAGGTAGTCAAAGTTGTCCATGATGACCGCCACAAAGAGGTTGATGATCTGCAGGCCGACAGGAAAGCCAGGTGACCCGGGCTGGGGTGGGCCCATAGCTTCCTTCTGCCACATCCTATGGGCAGCGTCCTCCTCGGAAGAGGGAGCTTGGTCCCATCCTGAACCGGCTCAGTATCCCTTTGGGATCTTCTCCACTCTGTGCCCCACCCTGGAAAGAGGTCCCCCACGCCCCCGCCCCTTCTCTCTGCGTGCCCCTGGTATTGCCTTCATCTCTTCCGTAAACGCTGCCTGACCCTTTGAATCATAAGGCTTGCTTATGTGAGGGCTCCTAGTCGCCCTCCTGTCTCAGACCCCTGCCCTGAGCCCGGGCCTGGCACATGGCACACACACACTCAAACAACTGGTTTGTGTGAATGTGGCACAGATGGGGGTGGAGGGGCGAGGGCTCAGCAGTGCTGCCATCTGTACCTTCCCCACGGACAGACAGCAGCCCGGAGCCTCCAGACAGCTGGCGCTTGGCTTCTAACCCTATCTGTGAGGTCCTTTGGGACTTCCTCTGCCTGGGCAGCTCTCCTCACTGAAGAGCAGTTAGGGACAGTGGCTTTACAGGAAGCCCTTACCGGGGTAGAGCTGAGCCTCATCAGCTTCCTTTGGGGTTACAAATTGGTAAAACCTCAACACTAGCCCAGAAGTGGAAACCCAGCTCCCGGTCGAAGAAGAGACCATGTCCGGATGTAC